TTTTTTGCTTTCTGTGTTGTTGTTTAATTGGGCTGTCGTCCTTGTAAGGTGGGACCTCTTCATTGTTTTGTTTTGCATCTTCCGGATGGCTAGTGATCATGAGCCTTTTTTCATGTGTCTGTTAGCCTTTGAATGTCATTTTTTGGCCAACTGTTTCTGCCTGTCTTTTGCCCACTTTTTAATTAGATTACTTGTTTCTTTCTTATTGTAGAGTTGCAGAATTCTAGAGATTTTAGAAATCAGTCCCTGATCTGTGATCTGTTGTTGTGTCATTGCTGGAGAGTTTTCCCAGTCCATGAGCTCTCTCTTTACTCTTTGGTTGAAGTTTTCGATGTGCCTAAGTGTCTTATTTCTAGTAGGCTCCAGGGATCTGTCTTCTACTCAGTATGCTTTCTGTATTATATTTGGTAACATGTCTGTTCCTTGCAGAAGGGCCCTCGAATTGGTCTTTTTTTTCACTGGTGACCCTTTAGATCTTGGATTTACATTTACCTCTATGATCCATCTTGAATTCATTTTTTGTGCGTGGGGTGAGGTATGGATCCCCTATTTCTTTCTTCTGAAGATGGAGATCCAATTTTGCCATTATCATTTGCTGAAGTGACTGTCTCTTTCCCATTCACTGTTTTTTGGCCCTTCGTTGAAGATCAGTTGCCTGTGGGTGGGTGCACTTAATTCTGTTCTAGCGGTCTGTGTACCCAACATTGTATCAGTAGCTGTCTGGCTTCCTCGGCTGTATCATATATCTTGAGGTTGGGTAGTGTGAGCCCTTCTACTTTGTTCTTCTTCTTAAGGAATCCTTTGCTTATCCTAGGTCTCTTAGCTCTCCACATGAGGTTGGTAGTTTTTCCATTTCTTTATGGAATGAAGTTGGGCTTTGGGTCATAATTGCATTGCATTTATAGATAGCTCTGGGTAGTATTGACATATTCACAATAGTAAGTCTTTGGTTTCTTATAGTAACAATCTGTGGTTTTCTTTGTACAGGTCTACCATTTCATTGGTTATTTTTACGTGCTTCATCTTTAGTGGCTACTGTAAATGGTATTGTTTCTCTGTTGTCTTTTTTGGAGCCCTCTTTGCTGGTATACAGAAATCCAATTGATTTTTGATTTTTAATCTTGTATCCTGCTACTTTACCAAATCACTTCATATGTGGATGTAAACTTCTTCACGAATTTACATGTCATCCTTGTGCAGGGGGCTAATCTCCGTATTATTACAATTTTAGTATATGTGTTGCCAAAGCAAGCACATTGATATTTAATTTATAATGTGGCTATTACATTTGTGACCTGAATTATAGTTCTGTTGGGCAGTGCTGTCCTACATAAATTCCTCAATATGGCAAGAACAGAGCAAGAAAATAGACCCCTAGGCCTTACTGTGGGAAGGAAGTAGGGCAGGGAGGAGCATGGGTCTGTGGGGCCTGGTCTCACATACATAAAAGGAGATACATACAAACAGAGTTCCCTGGAGAGACATTCATCATACATCCTTACACTTGTGTTCCCCATGACCCGGGTGTTGTACAGTATGAGTTGTCATTTTTATGAGTCCTATAGATATACTAGGAGCCCTGGTGGCATAGTGGTTACAAGGTGGTCTGTGATCCATAGTCTGTAGTTAGAAACCATCAGAAGCTCTGAGGGAGAAATATGGAGCTTTCTATTTACATAAAAAGTCACAGTGTTGGAAATTCCCAAAGGAAGTTCTACTCTGTCTCTTTGAGTCAGCATGGACCATGTAACTTCATGTTGAAGTTGAAGGAAATGTAAACAAGTCTTCAAAAGACAGCATATGAACTTGAGCCTGTCCCACCAGAGATTTGATTCATTGGGCCCTCATGGCAGATGGCCTACTGAGCTGTGGGGTGACATCAAGACCAGCATACGCAAAGAGAGCAGAAGGCCATTAAAAGGACAGGAAAGAGAGAAAATGCCAAAGAGAATGTCCGAAGAAAAAGAGACTCCCAAACCGGCTCTTACTCATAGAATAGCTAAGACAATGGAAGAAATGATGATGTCAAAGAGTGGAACAGAACATTTCAAAGGGCAGCTGGAGAAGACAAGTTCTACAATTACAATGAAATAAGCTGTTCATCTGCCCTCCTCGCTTCTTGCAATTTGCTGTGCTAGCCCATGGCTGTTCCCATGGCTCACACAATGGAAGAAATCAAGGGCTTGCTGCTCACAGTCCAATGACAGGTCTATCTTTGCCAGGTCTGCCAAGATCAAGAAAATAAGGATAATGTGAAGTTCAGGGTTCAGTGCAGCACGTACCTCCACACCTTGATCTTCACAGACACAGAGAAGGGCAAGAAGCTGAAGCAGTCCCTGCCCAGGTTTGGCAGTGAAGGAACTAAAATGAACCAAGTTGGCTGGCGCCATAATAAAAATGTTAAAAATTAAAAAACAAAAAAGAAATAGGCAAAGATCTAAAGTTAGAAAACCAAAAAAAGAACAGACACTTGGCATCTCTTAGACTGAAAGAACTCAAGAAAAAATTTAATCCTTGGGTTGCAATTTTGAAAGACTCTATGGAAAAAAATACTGAGTAATTCAAGAAGAATCAAAAGAAGATGGAAAGAAAGTACAGGGTCACTGTACCAAAAAGAACTAACCGACATTCAACTGTTTCAAGAGATAGTATATGAGCATGATAGTTAAGTTTATTGTGCCAACCTGGTCAAAAGGAATATGTGGGATTAATCACATATTAATGTCACTGTTTGATTGGAGGGCAAAGAGATTAATGGCTCTGCAAGGCTTGCCTCTGTCTCTCTTGCTCTCTGGTGATCTGTCAGAATGCTGCTGCTGCTTTAGTTAGTTGTCTGCCTAAACCTGGGTGCTACACCACCTGTGGACCCAGCCAACCCATGGATCATGTGGCTAGAACTCGAGGCTTCTTCAAGGCCTGCTTTGCCTTGATGCTGGTGTGTACATCACTTGAGCTTGAGGCTGGTGGATCCTGTCACCCTGAATTGCTTGAGTTCTATTCTATATCCCATCCTGGCCTGCTTCACTCCACCCTGCTGTTTGCTGCCTGTGGGCAGACTGCTTGCCTTGCCTGAGGGAGGACTCCACCATCTGTTTCCCTGACCTTGGACTCTCTGTACTGCTGTGTGAACTAATTAGCTGTTATATTCCTTCTCATTATATAAACCTATCCATATATATACATACATATATATATATGTATATATTCATAAGTGTCCTAGTTTGGTTTCTCTAGAGAACCCTGCCTAACACAATGAGTAAGAACCAATGGTACTGAAGGAAGAAGTGCAAGCTGTACTGAAAGCATAAGCCAAAAACAAGGCTCCAGAAATTGATGGAATACTTGTTAAAATGTTTCAATAAGCTGATGAAATACTGGAAGCACTCACTTTTCTATGCCAGGAAATTTGAAAGACACTACTTGGTCAATGGATTTTAAGATATCCATATCTTTACCCTTTCCAATGAAAGATGATCCAAAAGATTGTGCAAATTATAGAACAATATCATTGATATTATTTGCAAGTAAAATTTTGCTGAAGATGATCCAACAACACTTGCAGAAGTACCTTGACAGGGAGCTTCCAGATATTCAGGCTAGACACAGAGGAGGATGTGGAACAAGGGATATAATTAATGACATCAGATGGATCATAGCTGAAAGCAGAGAGTACCAGAAAAAGGTTTACTTGTGTTTCCTTGATTATACTACGGATACTCGAGAAAAATGCAAATTCCAGAACATTTCATTGTGCTCATGTGGAACCTGTAAATGAATGAAGAGGCAGTTGTGTGAACAGAACAAGGCAATATTGCATGGTTTAAAATTAGAAAAGTGTGCATCAGGGTTGTATCCTCTCACTATCCTTAGTCAATCTGTATGCTGAGCAAATCATCAGAGAAGCTGGATTATATGAAGAAGAGTGTGGTATCAGGATTGGAGGAAGGTTTATTATCAACCTTTTATGCGGAAGGCTTATTATCAACCTTAATGAAAGTCTGGAGGACTTGAAGCACATGCTGGTGAAGATCAAGGATTGTAGCCTTCAATATGGATTATAACTCAATATAAAGAAATTGGACCATTAGGTAACATCATGATAAACAGAGAAAAGATTTAAATTTTCAACAATTTCATCTTACATGGACCCACAATCAATGTTCACGGAAGTAGCAGTCAAGAGACTAAAGGACATGTTGCATTGGGTAAATCTGGTGCACAAGACCTCTTTAAAGTGGCAAAAAGCAAAAATGTGACTAAGAACTAAGGTGTGCCTGACCAAGCTATGGTATTTTTAATTGGCTCATGTGCTTGTGACCGTTGGACAATGAGAAAGAAAACGGCCCTGCATTAGATGGATTGGCATAGAGGCTGCAACAATGGGCTTAAACATAAGAACAATGGTACAGGTGGCACAGGACCGGGTGGTGGGCTGCTCTGTTGTACGCAGGGTCTCTGTGGGTCGAAACGGACTCAACGGCATTTAACAGCATAGCTATCGTATGAGTAGCCGTTATATATGGCACTTTTGAAAGTTCGAATTTGTTCAGTGCAAACATGGAATATATCTCACAACTTGTGCAACGGTTTTGTTATTTATTTATTTTTGAATTCCATCTGTATTAAAAAAGTAGAAGTGCCTCAGGCCTGTGTGTCCCTCTGAAGCCTTCCTGGTTTCAAGCCTGACATAGTCTTTCTTTATAAGGAAGTTGAAGTTTTGATGTCCAGGGAATAGATAGGCTCTTAGTTAAGTTTTGGCTACATATTGTAGGAGGTAGGAGTTTCATTTAAAGTTGTGTCCAGATACCTGAACATGTCTTGTCAGTGATGTGAGGGAAGAAATGATGTGCCCACCGAGACAGGAGTGTTCCTGCGATCACAGTGTGAGGTGGGGCCCGCTGGACTGGCCTCTCTGCATGTTCCAGCCCAGACAGAATGCTTTTGGGGAGATGTGGTTCCAACTGTAAATGGACTTGACTGTGTTCACCCTTCTCTTGCAGTGAAATATGAGGAGTTATACTGTTTTTCATTCAACCCTAAACTTGATAAAGAAGAGAGAGAACAAGGCTGGATGCTGGTCAACCTCAGTGAAGAGTACAAGCGGATGGGCCTCCCTAATCACTACTGGCAGCTCAGCGATGTGAACAGAGACTACCGAGTGAGTGGAGGTCCTTTAGTGAAAATCCAGATCCTAGCCCACACAAGTTCTGATTTCAGAGGGCTTTACATGATATTTGTTTTATCTTCTTTGGGTTCAGTTGCATTTTTCAGGTACAAATATGAGGAATTCCAACCAAGTCACCCTTGGTTCATACAGCGACATTTCCTCTCTGCACACAGGACAAGCACACTTGAGCCTCCAACTTCAGATAGCCGTTGTGCTGTCCCTTCCATACCCCTGCTATGATGGCAGTTGGTGGGAGGAGAGCTGCTCCCTTCAAGCCTTTTTATAGCACAGTGAGTGATTAGTGGGGAGTCGGAGAGACTGTGCCGGCAGTTTGGCTCTGGCCCCTCTCTGCGCTCACTAGAACTCTTGATTGGTACACAAGGTCACCAAGAGGCTTCCCTAGAGAAAATGGGGAGAAATGTGTCTGCACTTACAGGAAGGAGGGCGGGGAGCCTGCGTGGCAGAGGGGGTCCTGTTTCAAATGCAGAGAAGCTGGTAGATCTACAAATCTGTGCTGTTTCACTGTTGATTTTGTAAAATACTTTAAAAAAAATAGTCAGTGTGAAAGCATTTCAGACATTTGGAAGAGCGAAGGAAAAACACAGAAACAAAAAGCCACCCACCTTCCCCTTGCTGTAGCACTCACGATCATGTTTTGAATATTTTCTTCAGGTTTTTTCCTCGTTTGTTACATTTGATCACTTTTTTCGTATATATATTAGTTGTACTGTATATTTATTGTTGAAAATGAGAAATTATAGGGCATAAAGGATATTAAAATCACCTAATAGTCTCAGTGTCCTGATATAACCCCTATTAATGTGTTTAGGGTATAATATTCCAGAATATTATATATATATATGCATATAAACTATATAAGGATATATATATATATATATGCATGCACATACAGTGATACCTTGACTATCAAACTCAATTCATTCCGAATTCATGTTCGAATACCGAAAAGTTAGAGAACAGTACATATTTTCCCCATAAGAAATAATGGAAAATCAAATCATTGGTTCTCAGGCTCCAAAATTACACTTAAAATTCATTTTTTCCAGGACTTTATCACAAAGTTAACAGCCCTAGGTTGTGGAAATACCCCTAAAACATTTAGACACAATAAAATAGCACGTTAAATATCAAAACACAATACAGTAAATAACATTAATATAGTTTTCATTATGTTTTGTTGTCTAAAAACCTGTGGGTTTTCAGGGGCTTCACTTCAGAATCCCCACTAGCATTCCCACACAACGGAGTGAGCCTAACTCTCATGGCCTGTGGCCTGGCAGTACCGTTTCTTTCATTTTTCCCCAAGAAAGTCTGGTTTCCTTGCAGTTGAACACTTGCTGGGCAACTAGACAACCAGCCGCCACAAATACAGCAAATACAGCCACACCTGCATTCGCTTCGTCTTCATTTGCACTCGCCCCTCCCCGGGCTCATTGCACTCAGTTCCCTGTGCTTTTTGTGAATTTTTCGAACCAGCCATGGCTTTGAATACCCCAGGCGGCTCGGTACTCGCCCCTGCAATGTTATTTATTAAACCACTACGGAGACTTTTTTGCCTTTTTGCATATCACTGTCTCGGATACGCTATCATCCCTGAGTTGTTTCTGATTTCTCCAAATTAACAGTAATTTTCAGTCTTTTCGATGGTCTGGGTTCTTTATTTGGTGGTTAACAATGACACACACATCCCCCCCGCCACACACCCAACACAGTGATAATGTCTATTTAGCCATGTTGTATTCAGCCACCAAATCAGATAAGTGATTTTACCTGATTCAGATTTCACAATGATTTCTTTCTTTAACTCTGTTGTGGTTCTCAGTTTTCCTCTTCGCTTTACTGCTGGTATCATTTTTTTAATCCATCGTTATGGTATTTTATGCAAATAAAGCAGAAATAAAATCACAGCGATGAGTGTTTTAAAACACAGTACTGTGTGTTGTCTGAGTGACAGCGGTGCTCAGACTGAAGTGTCACCCCTTTGTGTTGGAGGTGAGACACAACACACGACTCTCTCTTGCCCAGACAGGTTTTTTCAAGTAAAATTTTGGGTTCTACTATTGAGCAAAGTCATGAACACTGAGTGGTTTTTTTTTTAACTTTGTTGTTCCAGTGATGGAAAGTTTGCTCTTGGAGCATTTCAGCACCAACGTACCGCCATATCTGTGTGTTAATGAATAGTTTTCTATAGTACATATGTGTGTGTGTTTACCCACTGTACTCATTCCAAAGAAAGGTGACCCAATAGAATACTCACAATCATAGAACAATATCATTAATGCCACATGCAAGTAAAATTTTGCTGAAGATCCTCCAACAGCAGTTGAAGTAGTACATTGACAGGGAACCGTCAGAGGTTCAGACTGGATTCAGAAGAAGATGTGGAAAAAGAAATCATTGCTGACATCAGATCAATCTTAAAGCAGAGAATATGAGAAAGATATTTATTTGTGTTTTATTGATTATGCCAAGGCATTTGACTGTGTAGATCGTAAGAAACTATGGATAACCTTCAGAAGAATGGGGAACCTGTACATGGATCAAGAGGTAGTTTCGTGAACAGAACATGGTCTAAAATCAGGAAGGATGTGTGTCAGGGTTATGTCATCTCACTATATGCATATACTCTTACGCTGACCAGATAATCACAGAAGCTGGATTATAGGAAGAAGGATGTGACATCGGGATTGTGAACAGGTTTATCAACAACCTTAGATATGCAGATGACACAGCCTTGCTTGCTGAAAGTGAGGAGGACTTGAGGCACTTGCTGATGAAGATCAAAGATCGTATCCTTCAGTGTGGATTATAACTCAACGTACAGAAGACCAAAATCCTCACACTGGACCAATAGGTAGCACCATGGTAAAGAGGGAAAAGATTGGAGTCGTCAAGGGTTTCATCTTACTTGGATCCACAGACTACGCTCATGAAGCAGCAGTTAAAAGATGAAAGGAAGCAGTGCATCGGTTAAAGCTGCTGCACAAGACTTTTTTAAAGTGTTGAAAGCAAGGATGCTACTGTGAGAACTGAGACACACCTGACCTGAGCCATGGTGCTTTCAATGACCTCATCTCCGTGTGAATGTTGGACCTGGAATAAAGAAGAAGAAGGAGAATCAGTGCACTTGAATTGTGGTGCTGGTGAAGAATATTGAAATATCATGGACTGCCAAAAGAACTGACAAATCTGCCTTGGAAGAACTATCAGCCAGAATGTTTTTAGAAGCAAAAATAGCAAGACTTAGTCCCACACACTTTGCACATGTTGTCAAGGGGAGACCAGTCCCAGGAGAAAGACATCATGCCGGTAAAGTAGCCGGGCAGTAAAAGAGAGGAGGGCCTTCGACATCTGCAAGATGATTGAAACAGTGGCTGCATCATGGAGCTCCAGCCCTAAGAACAATCGTGAGGATGGCGCAGGACCGGGCAGTGTCTCATTCTGTTGTACATATGGTTTCTATGAGATGGAACTGACTTGATTGTACCTAACATCAGTACATATATCTGTAATACACATATGTGTATATACACACATGTATTATGGAAAACTAGGAGTCCTTATACCAACCAATCACCAGCGGTTGTTCCACAGTAGTTTAAGTTATAATATTTATATTTCTGAGCTTTCTGTTATGTTCCACTGGTCTATTTGTTAAAAACTTCATAGTTTTCATAGTTATATTTTTTAATAATATTACCCCTAGAACTTGTGAAAACCTTGATATCCTACAGGCCGAGACCTGCCATGTCAGTTTTCAGGACTATCTTTCCGGCGTTTACTCTTTGTTCTCCCATGTACATCAGCATGGATGAAAAATTAGCATTTCTATTGGAATTACATCAAATTTACTGATTATTTTTGCTAGAATGGACACCTTCATGAAGGAGCCCTGATGGAGTTGTCTCTGTAAGGCCCGCAGTTCAAACCCTAAGCAGTTCAAACCATATGGCCAGTGACCATCAGGCCAGCAGTTCAAACCCCTCAGCTGCTCTGCTGGAGAAAGAGGAGATTGTCTGCCTCCATAAATGTCTACCACCCTGGAGACTTCATCTAGGGCGGCTGTGAGTCAGAATCAACGCGATGGCAGTAGGTGTTTTGACACATTGATGAAACTTAATCTTCTTTGTTATGACACTTGAATTTTATAAAAACCATTGCCCTCTACTGTAAGTGGACTGTTGGGATCTCTCTGGCTCAATAATTAAAGTGTCTCATCAGAGTGCTTTGTTCTCATGGGAAAGCCAACCTTTGAGATGGAGTTTTTAGCCTTGACATGAAAAGAAGGAAAATCCAAGTTTAGTAAAACAAAACAAAACCAAAAACCAGATTTATTTTTTTTGTTTTAACATGACACATCTTGAGTGAAGAAGAAAATGGGACCGAGCAGCTACCTCTTGTGGAATAATATTTTTTTTGGAAACACAGGTTCTTCATAGCTCTGACACGATTTCCTCCTAGAGTTAGCAACACAAGCATGATTCATGCCCAGTCACTTTCACCTCCATCCCACAGACTGTAAAACATGAGTTATTTCACATTTCTTTTCAAAAGTAGCACACAGAAAAACAAAACTAACAACCAGCAAATTGTGTTGATGCTGAAACGGTAAAGTCCCGGGGAATTCTCTGATATAAATATTACTGGAGTAGGAGGGAGGACAACTTACCCCTATTTGTCACTGACTTAGAAATAGAATGAAATTTTTGTTCTTTTGAAAAAAATTAGGACATCATTAATTTCTTCTGTTTTTAACCTCAGGTCAAAAAACTTTTATTTGCTCTTCTTCCCCTGCCCCCGGCCCCCAAGAGTTATTCTGTTTCTTTCTTTCTAAGTTCTTTGAGGGAAATGGGGCAGAGTGGCATCCAGTGGAGAAGAAGCTGTTATTGCACACGGCAGAAGGATGGCAGAGTTCAAACAGATCCCAGGGCCAGCCCTACCATTCCCTCCACACGCGGCCTCGCCTTGCT